CATCATCATCATCAGATTCATGATGGTGTCCGTTTCGACCCACCCTTGGAATGTTTTGCTGGGGAGGCGAGAAGTACAATAAAATTGCTGCTAGGCTTGCTAACTTCAAGTTTGCCGCCGAGCTCTACCCGCTCTGGCTCGGCGGGGGACGGTGGGGGGGTCGCGATAATCTGTACCAGATTGGAGCCACATGAAACGGTTGCGGAGCAGGCCGTGCAGCACACGCGAGGGCAGGGGGCCTTCACGGGCAACCAAAACCAAACCTACCGAGCCCACCCGTTTTGGAGGGCCGAGGGGAGCCAGGCCGGGAACGTGGCCCACCGGCGAAAAGGCCCCCTCACAAGCTGGCACGCCCCTGCGGGCTCCGAGGCTCCAAGGAAAATTCCACGATCCCACCCCAAACTGTCGGTGCACATCAACACTCATGCTCTACGATTATTATCCCATGATGGTGTCCGTTTCGACCCACCCTTGGAATGTTTTGCTGGGGAGGCGAGAAGTACAATAAAATTGCTGCTAGGCTTGCTAACTTCAAGTTTGCCGCCGAGCTCTACCCACCTCCGCTCGCGAGCTGTATGTGTCTCAACAGCTTGGTCCTTCACCCGGGGCACAAAATGTGCGCGGACCTTGATGAGTTGAGAAGGAACCTGGAACACAAACAAAACCTAAAGCAAGCCCCCAGGCCCGCCCTCGCAGTGTGCTCCAGAAAAGTCATATATCTTCGGTGACCACCCTAGATTCCGAACAAAACGAGCTGCAAAACACTCTTCACTGCCATATATACAGCACGCACGAACCTACGGGCAATATTGATCCAGGCACCTGGGAGCCTGGCGACTTGGATTTCACGATCAGTCATGGACATGTAGCGGATCTCGGGGAGCGGGAGCCCTGCCAAAGTGGAGTTGATGTGAGCCACGACTGTATCTCTCTCAGAGCTGATGTCACAGTCGAGGCTACTCCACACTGGGTTGCTCCACTGGACCGAGAAATTCACGATTCGCTCGACCATATGGACTCCGTAGAAACCTGACGGCAGCAGGTCGAGTGTCATGTGCAGCTCGCGGTATTGACTGGGCCAGATCATTAACTGCCATCTCTCCGACATGTGAGGTATGGTAACCGAAGCCTCAGCGATCGCGGTGGCGACCTGCTCGGCTCCAGGCGGTCGGGGCTCGCCTGTCAGGAACTCGCGCTGGATCCAGTCCTGCAAGATCTCGGGGTCGTCCGCGAGCCGCTCGGCGTGGCGCTGGCGGACGTGAAGGTTGGTGATGTCCACTCCGCGCCAGGCCTCCTGCAGGAGGCTCGCCGAGCTGCGGGACGACGTCACGGCGAAGTCTGACACGCCTTGTGCCGCCGTGATGACTGCCCCAAGGCTGCTGTCGACCACTTTGCCTGCCGAGACAGATACGCTGGCCACGACGCCCATCATGGTCCCGACGTGGGTCAGCGGCCCAGCCATGTAGCGCCACCCGATCAGCATCGCGGCGACCGCCGCCCACGTCACTCCTCGCGAGGTTGATCGTCCGCACCACCTTGCGATGAGCCAGGCCGCGCGCAGCAGCGACCACTTGCTCCAGCGCGCGCGTCTCGACCCCGCGGCCGCGCCCGCTGCCAGCGGCTGCGCCACCAGCGGCTGCGGGGGCCCCAGTGCTGCCACGCCAGGGGCCGCTGGCGCCGGCGCCTCGGCCTCGGCCGCGCCCGCGCCCGCTGCTGCATCCCCCGGCTGCTGCGGACCCGCCAGCAGCCCATCCACCAGTGCGCCTAGTGCTGGCGCAGGCGGCTGGGCTGGCGCCGCTCGGGGTGCTGGCGAGGCCACCCGGCGGCCCCCCGCCAGCGGCGCTGGAGGGACTCCCTCCGCAGGCAGCACCCAGGAGCCGTCCTGGCCCTTGCGCCAGCCCGCTGGCGGCATGCTGGATGCCCTGACCCTCGCCGAAGATGCCCTCCGGGAAGTAGTTGGGCAGCTTCTCGGCCGCCTCGCGGATGAGCGGTGCGATTCCTCGCTGCTCAGCCTGAGCCAGGACCCTGGAGGCGGTGACAACGTCCACGTAGATGCGGAGGCTGGACTCCGTGAGCCACCGTCCTGCCTCCTTGATGTCCTGGAAGGGGACACCACGAGCCACGGAATCGCTGGCGAACCCTGCGCGCGCCGAGTGAGGCGTCCAGTGTATGTCGAGGCCCAAGGCTGCTTCAAACTGCTTGAGCCGAAGCCTGTAGTCGACGAGAGAATAGGGAAAGAGGAGCCCCTCGGGCGGCGTTCCCAAGACTACTCGGTGTAGGAGGTTCTCCAGTACTCCGCCCTTCTCCAAAATAATGGCGAACTGCATTCTCTTGGCCTTTGTGCCCGACTTGGCCCCCAGGTTGATGACCCAATTTGGCTGCAAATCCGGTCCCCCTCTAGACGATGGCAAGGATATGTCTTTTGCTCGCAGCTGAAGCATCTCCGACGGGCGCAGGCCGCGATCCACCTGCAGCAGCAGGCCTACGCCCAGCCGCGGTA